TCGCCTTTTGGGTTTCAGTCTCTTGCATCTCCAGACGGGTCTTCACGTCAGACAGCTCTGATTGAAGCTCAGCAGTGGTGGCCTGTTCATAAACCGGATCAAAATCATAGATCAATATCAGATCATAATATTAAGTCCCAAGCCTTTTTGCAAGCAATAACACTTGGCACTTGGGGGCTAATGCCTACTGAAAGTTTTATCCTAGTGGCGGCTTAAGTGAATAAGTCCCAAGCACTTTGCGAGCAAGAGTACTTGGCACTTGGGGGCTAATGCATATTGCTTGTCTAGTGGAAATTTTATGACGACACCTTGGTATTACAACCGGTCATAGCCAGTTCAGGAGAGCTACACACTTTTAAGCCCGATGTTGAAAAGATTCATAGTGATCAAATTTACAGCATATTTAGAATAAGCGGTAAACTTGGGGGCTGGCAGGATATGCATAATCTAGGAGTTGAAGAGATCATACCTCAAATTTAAGATGCATCTGCTTCACCATGTCCACCTCAAGATCACGGCTATTGTGTACTTGGCTGAGAAAGCCAGAGTATAGTTCACCAATGCCCAGTTGAGCATAGTTGGCAATATCAAATCGTACCTTGCATGGCTCAACATGTTCTTCCTTAGCAGAATGCTTGGCTAGCACACTAGGTCTCCCCGGCTCAGTAAAGCCGGTCTTGGTGATCTCTACTTCATCATCTTGTGTGTTGGCTGTCTTGACAGGGCTTGAGGTTTCACGAGTTAAAAAATCATCTTTGGCTTGATCAACATGCAGATCAACAGTCATGGTTGGAATGTCATGAACCGGATCAGAAGGCTCAGGAATGGAGGCCTCAGGTGATGTGGTTTGGGGCCTCGGTTCATGGACTTTTGGTCCTTCGACCAGCTTGTTCTTCTTTGTCCTTTTGCTGGGCTTTGCTTTTCCACTGCATAAATCAAAAAAAGGTCAGTACACGTATAAAAGGATTGTAATGAATAAAGGATAAGTAAAATCATTACCCAGGAGCGGTTTTGAAAGCCGGCATGTTGGACTGGATTGAGTCGCCCGAAGAAGAATGTGAAGTTTCGTGATAATTTGAATCGGAAGAATTGAGCGGCAGACGAGTGAGACCCGCCAAAGGATAACAAGTGTTTAAATTGGGGGTGACCTCATTTCGGCACTTCCTCAGCGTGTTCGGTAAGCTGGAGGAGAGTTCCGCATCCTTGCTCGTCCGACTCTGCCGCCGGCTCTCGTGTTGCTGTTGCTTCAAAATAAAGTGAGGATCCATATGAGCTAAGGGGTGTGAAAATCTTACTTTCCGGGTTACTCTTCGGATTCTTTGTCTTGGCAAAGGCTCGAAGTCAGAGGAAATAATAGTTACCTCTTCTTCCACTCCCTGACTCGTTCCCGTGTCGTCCTGATGATAGTCAGTGTCAATAAGATGATTGAAAAAAAGAGCCAAGAGAATCAAGGGCTACCTCCGACTCAGAGGTGTCATCTCGTTGAAATAATTCAAAAGCATTGGGATTCTTTCCTATTTTCTTGGTGGCTTTCCTGGCGGCCTTCTTAGCCTTCCTGGCTCTCTTTGCAGCCATGATCATATTCTTTATTCCAAAAGTCATCATCAGCCTGTCAACATCGTCAAGGTTGAGCTAAAACAAAGTATTAAGGATAAAGGTAAAATAGCCGGATCACGACTTACTTTTGGTGTTGGATTAGACTTGCAGAAAGGGCTTAGGCCCACCTTGCTGCAATCAGCTAAGCTCTCATTCAGAAGAGATTTTATCATCTCATTGATAAGGACATCAAGGTAAATCATCGGGACTGTGGCAAAGAGGATCCTTTTTGTCACTGGTGTAAGTACACATCAAGGCGGAGCGGCGGCTCAGGGGGATAACCCGCCATGCTACCCAACACCGGACCAAATCAATGTCATTTAAGCCGTTACCCAACAGAGCCTTGACTTTGGCAATAGTAGGGGCGAGCTTCTGGCGTTCTGCAGTTGTTAACTTGTCAGGGAGAGGATGGTAAGATTCGAGACGCAGAGCGCGAATGCTGGGCAGAGGATTCTCATCAACCGGAGAAGTATCTTGACAGTAGAACCATGTCTGGTTCCAGTTTTTGGGATGACTTGGCGGCAGTGCATAAGGAAAAATGGCGTCTCTCCGCCGTTGGATTGAAACCCCGCCAAGTTCCAAACTAGGTCCATTGGAATATTCATTTTGGCGGTTCAAGTAAAAATATTCTCTGAAGAGTTCCAAGCTGGGCTCTTCTCCAAGATATATCTCACAGAACACTTGAAAGTTGCATATGTTAGACACAGAATTGGGTCCGGTGTCTTGAGGGTGAAGGTCGAAAAAGCTCAGAACGTCCCTGAAGAACTTGGAGCCGGGCGGTGAAAAGCCCTGGTTCATGTGATCAGTGAAGACAATAACTTCCCCTTCTTTTGGATGAGGTTTCTCTTCCGTCGGTTTAGGGGGGCGGTAAGACATGACATCCTTTTTGGGCAGATAGCCGAGTTTCACAAAATCTTCAAGTGTGCTCTCCGTGACGATGGAGCGAACCCAATTAGAGGAAGTGGTTGTTTTGGGTGGCATTGTGAAGAAGGAAGCCTAAAAAAGAATAAATTTGCCGGTTCAAATTTAAGCCGGAGGGAAAGGTATTACAGCGCATATTCAGAGTGGCGGCTTAAAAAGGGGACTAATGGTATATGACTAATTATGGCAGGTTATCTAAGCCGCCATGAGCAGTTTGATGTTATCTATTGAGCATTGCAATTAAGGCCGGCGGGTACGAGCCGTCATGACTAGGTGGATCTATCCAGGTGCAGTTTTTTGCTAAGTGCGGCACAAACAGATTTCGCAGATTGTAAGTATTATTAGATCAGCGACAATTTAGAAAAAGGAAAAAATTTAGAACCTAAAAAACCAGTACAGGGGTTCATAAGCTCTGATGGGATCTCTTTCCAAAGAAAGGGGGTTCGCTGGTATTAAAGGAGAAGGCAAAACAGCTACGCATGAATTTTGTTCCGTTTTTTAGAATCAAAAGATGTTGCGGTGGAAGAACTTACGAAGAACACGACAAACAAGTTGAAACCCTAATGCAGATCTGGAGTACGGGTAAGCAAGTACTTACAGGCGCATATGAACTGCGGAGGAGAACAGTTTCTCAAATTGTTGGGGATATAACTATTAGGTATGACCCGCCCAGGAGGGGCCGGGTTATACCCATGGCGATTCATCATCATGAAGCCCATGAAGATATTTGAAGATGGCGATTTAGTTAAAGGGCCCAAGGCCCAAAGGCGGCTTAAGGCCCATAGAGATAAACCACCATATATGTATGACTTGAGTTATAAGGCAAGGCTAGATAGTCACCGAGCCGAACACTGTTTATGAGCCGGTCGGGACTCTGTAAGCCGCTGGGCGTCGACCTCTGTATATAAAGGGACGACCCGACGGCGGTTCAAGGCAAGAAACAACAGATCGAAAGCTAGGTCAAGCGGATTCGCTCCCTGGTAATCGAGACATAAGCAATTCCACCGAAACTGGATCGTAGGCTTTTACCTTCACCGCAAGGGGCGGAACCAGTATAAACTTTCGTGTCCTTTGTCCCGTTTAACCCCTTTAAGCTTCCTAGTTGCGATTGCTTCACGACTAAGTCATTTTGCTAGGACATCTGCCGGGACCTTTCCACGACACAAATTGTATTTTACCAATTGTGTTATTCACATATGTTAATGGAGTGTCTCAATGTTTAAAAAAACATATATACTGCTCACTTTCTACATCTACTATAAGTCATTTATTTACGACATACGGTTGTGCCTTATTTTTGGTAAATGATAAGATATTTTGCAAGCTATGCAAGAATTGCAAAAAATGTTATTGTACAGAAGGTTGTAATACAAGTCACACGGCTTATTTTGCAGAAAGAACTTTTGTAATTTCTGCACAAGTCGCAGATTGTAAGTACTAAAAGTAAAATGCAAGTTTCTACTAAATACCCTGTCTGTTCCAAATTATAAGACGTTCTAACTTTTTCCCGAATGGGATATATATAGACACCTTTTTTATGAGTTCGTTCACTCATTTCAATCCATATATAGTCCATATCAAAATATCCAAAACATCTTATAATTCAGAATGTAGGCAGTACATTCTTTGAACTGTATTGTAAGTTGTAACCATGTGACTTGAATTCCAGACTAAGCTGGGGAGACGACGTGAAAACCTATGGCTCCATTTTCAGCTCTGGTTAGCTCGAAAGATTGCTCATTGTTCTCTTTTGACGCGCAAATGCTGGTTTCAAGTGAGAAAATATTGGTCCCTGCCTCCCTGATGTACCCATTTCTCGTTTTGCTTTCGACGAAGAAATGCAAGTGGCGAGCCGTACTCAACATGTTACTCTCAACACACGAGCAAGAAATCCCCTCACCTGTTCCAAGCATTTGCATGAACTTCACCACTTTCAAATGATTCCGCAACTGAGCCAATGCCAGAAATTACAAGTTTCAGAACTCGTAACGCACATAGAAGCATTAAAGCAAACCGGCTGAGATGATTGCAATAGGGTTTCAGTAAGGCAAAACCAGAACAAACGTAACCCACAAATCATCATTGCCTGTCAAGATCTTGATAACCATATCAGTCAGTTTTACTGTGAGCTATAAAAACCTCTTCAAAAGGTTCAGAAAAGCAGAGGTGAATTCAATTGTAATACACATGCTCGTCAGAGCTGGTAACAGTATACACTTATGCTGTAGCCAGTAATAGCCGGGGACCCATCGCCGAGACTGTCAAACCAACATAAGGCGAACCAAACAGGCATCACTGCTAACATCAAACACCATACTATTTTGGAGACAGGGGATGGATTTTGTTTTAACAAATTCACTAAAAAGAAAGCATCGGTTAGGATTTACAAAAGCTGGACGGGGTAACACCAAGACCAAAAGGCAACAGTTTTTTTTTTCCTCTCTTTTACTTTTCTGTGGTTTACTTTTTAAAACCTCCATATCCTATTTACGTCGAGGTTGGTATTGTTCTGGTGGGGCGCTTGAGTGAGAAGAAGGTTGTCCCTCCTTATGGGGCAACATATTTAAGAAACTGCCGTGCACAGGTTCATCTTCATCCATGCTCTCTGTTTCAATACGAACAAAGGTAAATGGATCGTGATCAAAATAAATGGTGAGGTGGGGAACCAAATGTAAAATACTGGCCAGTGCTAGTTACCAAACAATGTCTTGATGGTTGGCCGTTTTGATTTGGAGCTCTTTTTCTTCAGCTCGGCTGTTGCATAAAAGCACCATTCAATTCTAAAACTAACGAACTAAGAATACAAAATCCCTAGGCCAAAGGCAATAGTGCAGTCAAGAGAGACTAACCAATCCCGGCAACTTCATCGTCATTCACAATTTCAAAGTTCTTGTACGTGTACCCAACAAAATTTGCATCCTTGGATGGAAGCATCTGGAAGAAAAAAAATCTTCAGTGCCGGCATGAAGCTGAACATGAGTGAACTCAATATTCCCATGACATTATTATTATTAAGCTAAAAAAGCACACTGCAAACACATGCATGCTGCATTTCATGTTGAATTCAGGCATACCTTTCTCCATGGACCCGCCTTAGATGAACTCTGAACTTGTGCTCCAGTCTGCAAAAATATGTTGAAACAAAGGTAAATGGAAGCATGACACCTTGAGCTTTTGACACAGTTCTAATTCAAGTCTCAACAGCATTTATCATGGAGATCTAAGTAGTAGGTACATGGGGACAGGCCCGTCGACGAGGGGGAGCGAAGTGAGCTACCGCACAAGGCCTCCAAAATCGGGGGGGCCCCGTCAATAGAAAAAAACAGTAGATGAAAGATTGGTTCATTGCCTCGTGTCGCTGAAAGTTCGTAAAAACCAGTACAAGAAACGTACATGTCCATGCTACTCGATGGCTGGATGGAGCACGGAAGGCAAAATCCTTATAGGCCAAAAAGCTAATCAAGGCCCAATGCCCCAATCAGGCGCTGGAGGCTTAGAGCCAGGACAGAACTCACATCGGCGATTAGGGCAAGGTGCGATGCGAGGCCCTAGCAGTCGTGCTCGTGCCGGCGCCGTTGCCTCCGATGATCCAATCACATCCCATCGGCTGATCGTCTTGCTGCCATGAAAACGCAACAGCGGCAGACCGTGGTGCCGTTCCTTGCTTCGATCAGGATTCAGGAGGGCGCCCATGCCTGGACTACTGACTGTGTTTTAATCTCCGAGAGTAAGGTTCCCTTCTCAGTTTCCTTTTTTTGGGTTGTATTTGAAGATCTAGTCATCTCCTGATTGTTACCATATATGGAACTAATTTTATTCCGTTTGATCATTTATAATTTGTTAGGTTTACTTCCTAATCTTCAGCATGTCTACTAGAATTAGGAAGCATGATTCTGATGCTGCAAAGCGTAAGAAGAAACAAAGACAGGAAGTCTAGGTGCAGTTTCAAACGGGTGCCCTTGAGTACTGTGAGGGACACTCAACTTTATTCTGAAAATCAAACTGCAGATGTTAATGTTGATGATGGCCATGATGGTAATGCAGCAGAGGTTGAGGCCCGTGACGCATAAATTGATGATGAGAATTTTGTCGATGAAGTGGGTGCAGATAATTCTCAATGGATTGGCAACAATAGCACTTGAAAATGATATCTTGGTGAAGATTAAGTATGATGATAGGAAGATTTTATTTTCAAGAAATACGAGACGAATGCTCTTTTGGTAGAAGAGGTTAGTTTACTGCTCTGCTATCCTTTACTGATTTTTTAGCATAATAGTATTTGATATGTCTAAATATTGTACAAAATAAAACATATTTAAAATTAGATAATAAAGTGAGACTGTGCTTTAGGCATATTAATTCTTCTTCTATTACATGAATTGTTCAAAATTTCGGGCTATTTTTTGGTTTTCGCCCGGGGCCCCGAATTTCTGGAGACGGCCCTGCATGGGGAACATGGCCGTATTTTAAAAATTGTGCCGTCCCTGTGTCAAAACCTGCTTTGGGAATATTTAAGTGTATTTCAAAATTAAAAATGCAAGCCTCTAAAAATAAAAGGTGAAAACAGGTAAAACAGGTTATTAACAGCTTCCATGCCAACTGCAACTGTCAGTACATGCATATTTCACTGCTCGGAAATATAAATGCACAGCATTCTGGAATCTCTTAAGTTAGCCACTGCGTAACTGTGAGCCATGCTAACAGTCAATGCATGACAGATCACCGTCAGCACAAAAAAAAGTGGAAACATACTTCAAGCCACTTTGGTTATCGACTGTCATGCACTGCAGAAACCATCAAGTGTCTGGAGCAGGAAATACTATTAATGCATATTGTCTAGAAAGATATACAAAGTGGAACCACAGAATATTACCTCCTCAAATTTCTCAAAGTTCTGAGTATCCAACTCGCCATTAACTTCTGGTATGAAAGCAGCTTTCATCTGATACAACTTTTCCCATTGGACACCTCTAAACCATGTATGTGCCTGAAGTGGATGATATGGTGTTATCAGCTAAGCAGGTAACTGAGAGAAATGAGGGTGTACTGTGTAGAACCAAGGTAAGGGACACACTTTTATTTCATGGGCTCCTTTTGTTCCAAGTCTCTGCTCAACATTACAGAGAAGTTTGCTAATGAGATCCTTAGTTTCAGAAGAAAGCTTTGCCTCTTCAGGAAATTTCAGGTGACTTCTCCAGTTCACAATCTGGATGAACAAAAAAGAGTATCAAACAGATCAGATTGCATTTTCGTACAGTTATACGAGTATTTTGTGTGCCAATGAACAAGTTAGGTGAATTGTTGAATAAAAAATCCTACTACAGAACACTAAACAGGGTAAACCCAATATCATGCATGCGATGAATAATAGAGTCCATATAAGGTGTATAGTAGGGAACTAGAGATGAGCTGCAGTGACCAGCTGCAACTATCAGAATCTATCCACAGGGTAGTAAAATGACAGGCAATTCACACTACTATGGTGCATCTATGCATTTTGCCCTGTCCTATGTGTTATAGATTTGACTAAAGTCAGTCTCGTGCGAGTCTGGCAAGCGTTACATAGGCTGAAGATACCAAATACTCCCTCCGTCCCAAAATAAGTGTCTCAACTTTATACTAACTTTAGTACAAAGTTGTACTAAAGTTGAGACACTTATTTTGGGACGGAGGGAGTATCAAATAAACATCCTCAGTGATTGATTCATGAAGCCTGTGTGAGAGACATACCTTTCTGCAGGTTGACATTGGATCCTCCGAATAAAATGGGGGATAACCAACTAGCATTTCATACATGATAGCACCAAGGGACCACCTAATAAAGAAAGAAATGTGAAACCAAAAATCCATTAAATACATAAAGCATGTGCAATGGAAATTAAGAAGTTTAACGACTAAAGAAAATCATTACAAGATGAGAAACCTAACCAGTCACACTCCATTCCATATCCTTTCTTCAATAGAACCTCTGGAGCAATGTAATCAGGAGTACCAACTGTAGAATACGCCTGTATGACACAAGAATGACCAGCATATTAGCTATGCCAGTGGGGCATACTCGCTTGTTAACATAGCAAAACATAGACAACAGATATGAAAGGAAAAGCCAAGTCAAGATACAAATCCCACATAAGAAAAACCAATGATTATCAAGAAGTACCATAATACATCATTTACACAACCCACTAGAAGTTCAAGCTTAGAATATGAGGTATTTGATTTCCTTGCAATAGTTATCGCCCCACTGAAGGAAGGTAACTGGCTTTCTTGAGTTGAGCAAACATTATTTAAAACATCCTGCAATTGGATTTGACTAGGTTCAACACCATGAAGATTGGCATGTTACACCAAAACCATGCCTCCTTAGATCCGGACAGCTTATGTTTATGTTCATGTTTCTGTATTCTTCATTTCTCATAGTGCTTCCTTGAGAAAGATTCATGTTCAAAGTAACTCCGACACATTTTCAGCGAAACAATAGATAAAAACTTGAAATTTGATATGGTTTTTTGCAAGGTAGGAGGCCAAGAAAATGGATGCATAGGTAATACGAAGGCAGCATAAAGCCTCTGTCTGGTTTGATGCCCCAAGTTGACAAGCCAACATTTCAGCAATGTCAAAAGTTGCCACGTTTCGGTATGAAGGTTGGTTTGCTGCCAATTCTGTGCCAAATTTTGGCAATGTACGTTAGGATAGTGATTGATTTGCTATCAACATTAGAGACGAGATAATGCCTTGCCAAATTCCGTCAAATCTTGCCAACATTCATGGAGCCAGAAAATTGGGGACCACATTTCTACAAACTATTTTGGCAAGGCATGAAACCAAGCATATGCCTGTAGAAGTGTACTACAAACATTAATATATCAATTTATTAGACATGGCATCATAACATTGTTAATATTGTTTCCCAACCATCAATAAGTTGATTCCATCCTAGATGTGTTACTTACCAACATCCGACGGTTCTTTTGCCAATGTGACAGCTGCTCCTGCTGCGTACGCTTCGGTGCAGAAGAGTTAGTTAATCGACTGGTGTTATCGGGTAAAGGTTTAGCACCTTTTCCAGGTGTATAATCCGGTTCATTCAAATTTGGAAAATTACTGCTATCCAAAGGTTTGCACAATCCAAAGTCAGAAAGCTTCAAGTGACCACTGAGATCTAACAATAAATTATCTGGCTTGATATCCCTGACAGAACAAACACAAAAATACATCTTAGATTACCTAAGCGGCAGAATTATTAACAGAGCAAGAGAACCATTATACACGATACCTGTGAATGTAATTGTGCTTGTGAATGGACTCTATTGCTAGTACAGTTTCTGCGATGTAAAATTTTGCTTCATCTTCTGTCAGAGTGTCCTTGCGCATGAGCAAAGTCATCATGTCACCACCAGGAAGGTACTCCATGATGAGATACAAGAACTCATCATCTTGAAAAGAATAGTAAAGCTTTACTATGTACGCACTATCGACTTCTGCAAGAAGGTTTCTTTCGGCTTTGACGTGTTCCACCTGAAATGTGTACAAACATGACACAGTGTCAGGACAGCATATAACCAGAAACGGAAAATACAAAAAAAAAATGGATAAACCGTACACAGTTACCTGGCCCCTACGAAGCATTTCAGATTTCTTAAGCTTTTTCATTGCATATACGCTTTTAGAGGTCTTTTCTCTACAAAGACGCACCTGCATAATCACAATTCAGAATGACATTAAACATGAGGCACATAGCGATGACCACAAAAGTACAAATAACTGGCGATGGTTACTTTATTACATATGGCCCAGTTCTTTTGGCCGCTTATGACGATGCCGCCCCCTCCCCAACTTTTTCTAGAAGCCACCCCCATATTGGTCGGAGCTTCTAAAGAAGCCCCCCACGGAGGCTTCTAAACTAAGCTAGGGAGGGGGCAGCTTATTATAGAAGTCGCTAAAAGAACTGGACTGCAATCGGCTAACTGGGCATACATTTTTACAGTGCAGGAGAAAGAAGAACACAGCTGGAGAAGAATATGAAGGCATAGGAAATAACTGAAAGGAAATATATCAGAAGAACAGAACACACCACTAAATCAGGCCAGCATGTAAACGTTGCTTTATAAGTATACGGGTCAACTGCACTAAGCAAAAACATTATTCTCATGTGCTCTTGCTGAAAAGGACGAAAGGTGAAATCCTTGTATGAAGGGATTCTTTTTATCCTGATGTGATATATGAAGGGCGGACCTGGCGCAGTGGTAGAGTCTCCACTTGTGGCCTGGAGGTCCTGCGTTCGAACCAGCCTCCTCACAGAATTATTATGCAAGGGGTAAGGCTGTCCTAGAACCCAGACCCTACCTTGTGTGGGAGCTTTCAGCACTGGGTACACGCTTTTTTTTACGTGACTATATATCTCTACTTCACTACCATCTTATAAATTGGAGTTGGTGGTAGCTGCCACCTCATGCATGTTTCGAATGGGGAAGTCTTTTATAAGTATATACATGGCAGTACGGGAAAAAAAAACTACGACACAAACCAGCCAGTCAATCTGCCAACCAACTGTTTTCCCTGCTGCGGCTACTCCCCAATCCATGTCTTCCGGCCGGCCCTCCTTCCAATCTCAATCATCATCATCAACAACAACTACAACAACAAAGCCTTTAGTCCCAAACAAGTTGGGGTTGGCTAGAGTAGAAACTCAAAAGATCTCGCAACCAACTCATGGTTACAATCTCAATCATCCTAGCTTTCAAATTTCAAAATTCATATATGGCTCTGCCGCTTCAAATCTTGCACTGGTGCTCCCATGGCCGCTGCAGTTACACAAGGCCAGTGTTGCTGCTTGCTTGAGTTTTTCTTCGCCATGTTGCAAGTGCGTTGGTTGTTCTGTACTCTTAATTCAATACAACTACAATCATATTGTGGTTCCGTAGCAACTTAGGACATTGTTTTTAAGGCGTCCCGCCTTGGACGCTTAGGTGGCAAGGCACCCTAGCAGCGCCTTCCAATTTTCCTGCGTTAGTCGCTTAGGCATCAGGGCAGTGGGTGCTCGCCTTAGGTCACCTTACTGCCTAAAGAACAATGACGCACGGGCATGCTTGTAGACAAAGAATACACAGGACGTTTCGTGTTGAGCGGCAAGTATAGAGGGAGCACAGAGCAGCACAATTTTGTGATTACATAAGAGATCATGTTTATGGGGAAAAGGTAGGATGAGCAATAGTGTCAAGCCCAATATTGGTCTTCTGAACCTACTATTGACAACCAGAATTAGAAGACCAAAACATATAAATAAACAACAGGGACCAAACTGAGGTACCTCTCCAAATGCACCTCTTCCAATAATTGTCAAAAGTTCAAAATCTTCAACCCCCATCTTGTGTCTTTGCAAACGCATATATTCAGTCTCCTTTTTCTCCAAATGTTTTAGAATGTTGTTCTGCTCTTCTGCAGGAACTTCAGCATCCTGTAATTTCCTCTCCAGCATCCAGCGCCTAAAAGTAGACAAAGATATCAGATCAGGATGATGACTAAATTGTAGCCAGTAAATTAGTCTCAAACAGAAGTGGCACATCAAAGCATGAAGCAGATTGAAATAAGTTACAATCGATGCAAAATATACATCTTAGGGAGTAACGTTGATACAAGTTTTAACTCAGAACGAAATAAACAATCAGACGCAGTTTATCACAATTGTGCATTCACAATGCAGAAATTAACAGTGATGGTGTCAACCAAAATCTCTGAAACGAACAGCTAGACGGCTTTCAAAATGGGTATATTAATCACCTTGAGCGAAGTGTTTTGTTATTAATATGTCAAACCTGAAAACCAATTACAAGTCATATCTGGTAGTGAATTAAATGTTTTACTAAGCCACTTGTGCAACTGGAGGACTCAACAAACCGTTCAAGCTATGTACCTAATTTGGAGCTAGAGCTTTAATCCATTGGAACTCCTATTTATGGCGGTGACAAGGTCCCGACAACTTGTGTGGCCCAAGGACTTCATCTTAACAACCTGAATCGGTGTTTACCATTCCAATACCAACATGGCATGTGATGTGTGTTATTAAGCATCATGCTCGGCAATAGCTACAAGGAGGGCGCTTGTCGTTTTCCTACTCCGCGGCATGGTAGGATTTATTGAACCAGATGGAGTCAGGTACCTAAATCCACAGCTAAAGCAGGGGAAAGCGCGCCAAACATTTAAGTTGCCAGCCTACCTCTCTTTCCTATCTTGCAAGGACTTCATCTGAGTCTTGTAGTGGTTCTCAATGTACTGTTTTGCCGCGGCGACCTTCTGCTTGGTCGCGCTAGAAGGCGCGTCGTCGACCGGGGGCTTCCCGGGATCCTTCCCATGGCTGGCAGGCACCGCCGGGCTCTTGGACTTGTCCCGCGGCTGGAACTTCTGGAACCAACTTCTCGCGGAATCCATCTTGTGCTCACAATGGCATCATCTCTAAGACTAGAGAGCCTATTATATTGACCAATCCAGCAGCCGCCCACAGGCCAGAGGAGCTCTAGCTCTGAAGCGGTCAATACCCTCCAAATGGATCAGATGTCCACACCGGCACCTCCTCCGTAGAACCCGATGCTGGGAATGATGCCTATCTGGAAAAATCATAGAAAATTACCATCAGTCAGAATCGCTCGCACAAGTTGCCATCCATCGCACGACTTACACGGGCTAGCGAGGGAACGGTCAATAGAATCCTTCCAAGTTTCTCATATTCTCGGACACGACACCTAAACCCAGTCAAAAATCCCGAAACTAAGCCACACTGGGCATGAATCCTCCGTCGACAGCAGCCGCTGACAAAGCCGGTTACGAACCAGTAAAAGGAACGTAAGATCCCAATTCCCCGCCGAAACCCCCACCCCCCACCAAAAAATAAATCCTCGAACAGCCGCATTCCGGCGATGAGTTTCGCGGAATTCGACACGGGAATCGCATTGCCGGCTCGCGCGCGCGCGAGGCCCCACGGAAATCGCGGACGAGGAGCGGCGCCAAAACCCCCCGTCAAACCACCGAAACACACGCCACCGCACTCCCAAGCCCGCGGCCGCGCGCGGCGTCGCGGAGCGCCGAATTCG